AAGTGAAATACATAAATTCACCATTGACATGTTTCTACAATTTTCTTCCTTTAACCATTTTAGTTTTAAGTCTTCACCGCGTTAATCAGATAAAAAGGTCTTCGCAGTAATGTCCATACCGTCAAAACTCACAATGGTAGACTGGTCGTTGCTTCCCAAAGAATTATTAGAACTAATCATTGGTCGTTTTGAGACATCTTTCCAAATTGTCCATATCCGATCCGTCTGCAGCTCTTGGCGGTCCAGTATACCTCTACCATGCAAGGCGATGAATATTGCACACTAATAAAGATACCAATTTTCCTCTTGAGATTCTTGACTCCATTTCGTGCTGATTATTTATTGGCAGAGATGCGTTTGAGAAAGTTTGGTAAACCCATGTGAACACGTGAAAGACGTCAAATGTTGTTCAATACTCTTACCTCTCAAATTATCCCACTGGGTCATTGCTACGAGGTTGGTTTTAATCTTTATCTCCTCGTAATATTACTAGTATTATGTTTCTTAGAGAAATGCTATTTTTTACTTTAAGAAATAGCAAACTCAAAAATATAGACTAGCGGTGGAGGAAATATAGAGGAATGATATTTTTTACCCTATTTTAGAGTAAAAATTTGAGGCAACCATTAGAAATGGTCTAGCATCACTTGATATCGACCATAAAATAGTCTTTAATAAATTCTCCATGAATCAATAAAAGCACAAATGTGTCTGTTTGTCTCATTGAGCCTCTGATCATCTTCGATGGAGATAAAGTTATTCAAGATGATATCGTTTCTTTACGCTTTGGAAACAAATGGGCGAGTATTTCTTAGTGTTGAATTTCTTGAGATTAATTGTTTGAATCATAGGCATTAGATCTTAAAGGAATTTGGTTTGTTACTGAGTTATAATTTTTGTGTTGGTAATTAAACATAATATATGTATCCCTTTCGGTTATCATTTGATTCTCTAAAAAAAATATCTTTGATATATATAGATAAATTTCCACACTATAACAACGACGCTATAGAACACGATGTGAGAATTATTCCAAGAGAGCTGCGTTTCTTCAAGTGGATAGTGAAGACGATAGAGATTTCACAGTGGTAGCTGGAGTGTTCAGAGTTTTAATGATGTACAGAAGTGGACTGAAATCGAGGGATGGTTAAAAGCATATCCAGGAGATATGGTTTCATATAAAGGCAAGTTTTATGTTGTTGATACGACTGGACGTGGACATGTCTTTTTTATCGAACCATCAATGGAAGTTAATGAGATCCACCCAGTCACGCAATCTCACGAGTCTTTTGACGAGAGACTGATTGTCTCAAGAGACGAGCTCTTGCTGGTACAGCGATTTACGCCCGGATCGCGTGGTCATGAACATAAGCATACGTGGTTCACATTGTTTAGGCTCGAAGAGGAACGCCAAAGGAGATGGGTTTGGATTAATGACTTAAGAGGACCGAGTGTTGTGATCCCAACACCTTCACTACTG